AATTGTTACTAGGCGCTTGCCTCGCAATAATGTAAAAGAACTACCAGACAACATCATGATCTTCAAATAATTGTATCTACAGTATCAATTAAACTGTTAAACAAAATAAAACCTGCATAGAGTGTTTTTTTGGGGGGGAACAAGTCTGTACATTTGTTCCAAAATTATTTAACCAAAAATACATTAAAAAAATAGACTAACGAAAAATAGGCGGGAAAAATAATGGCGCCCCAATGAATAAAGTTGGTTATAAATATATAAATATATACTATATCCTTCATGTGGTCAAGTCAATGAAAAAATACATAGGCATGGCATGATTAGGAATACATCTGTCAGAATCCGTGCCGTTCAAGTCCAAAGAAGGTTCTCGTAAGTTTGATTTTAACAGTTATATAAACGGTGTTGTTAATAATGCTCCACAATGAGACAAAAAACCCAAAGTACCGTTCGGCATAGCAACATGTATATGGACGTGGTATGAATTTGTATTTTTATTTTATGTAAGACTTATAGTAGGAAAAACCACAAAAGCGTGAAGGCATACAATTTAATTGTCTCTCCAATCGGGGTGAAGGTGGAGTGCCGCTGTTAGCAATTACATAACCACTTTCAGATAAGCTCGCCAATCCAATGATTAAAAATCAATCAAGCTTATGATCAATTCGCACGTGGACGAAAGGACATAACCAGAATCTAACCAAGCGTGCACAATTATATAATGCTATGATCAAATAAAGGCATGTTTCTTTCGTTCGTATAAAGGCAATGCATGTGTGGAACAGAAATTGAACACTGACAAAGGCGGGCAGTATAAAGATACATACCTGAATGTTTACATACTATAGATAGAAGTTATTAAGTCGCCAAATTGAAAATAGCAAATACACTTCTTGGGAGCATGTTTTGTGGGTTAATTTTCTACGCTACAACCGTGGATACTTTTAAAAAACAAGGAATATAGCTGCAAGCTGCAATGGGGGTTCCAAGTTATATATTAGTAGTGTGACATGACCCACACTTCAACCCATTAATTTCATACACTTCAGATGTGTTGAAAAACTTATCTAGACTAATTTGCATATCACTATGTACAGGGAATGAGTTTCCATGCACTCCCGACTTTATGTTAATCTCGTCAATTTTATTCATATCCAGTTGGCTGCATAGCTTTATCTACACTAGTTTTTATCAATGTTACTCGTTATGTGTAATGTTTCGGAAGTTTAGCCTTTTGGTTCAACCGGCGTTGAGCTCTACATGTCTTTTAAATATATTTTTCATTTTTTTTGAAGCTGTGACCAGTAGAAGCCTCGAATCCCATCTTTTCCGGTGTCTATTCTATTGTATCATCTAGATATGATACTTATAGAAACACGTGTATTTATCTATTTATATTTTAACTATTTTTGTTAGCATATTAAAAACCTTCAGTCACTTATTTATTTATTTATTAGTTCATTCATTCACTAATTCATCTGGTACAACCCTTTATTTAGATAAGCTGGTCATTCATATCGTCTATTTTGGTGTTTTTCACTTGTGTGAACCATGCCTGACCCTTATATCCTAACCCCAAGAGATGTCCATTTATTTATTCACTGTGGTATTAACTTCATACAAAATTGTTAAATTGGAGAACAAATATATTCCAGATAATTTTAGAATTATTTTAGTGGACACCCGTGTTGCTTAATCCATTTCCATCATTTGAACTAGTCAAATTAACGAGACAAATATATCCTTCGATATTTAATTAAACACTTAAACCTTCCAAATTATTAAAACTTTAACTACAAAACTCGAGCCAACATTAAGTTGTACTTCAATTCTGAGAGTGTCACTACATCAAGGATGTTATTTCTGGGTTTTCTCAATTGTTCTCACTATATGAGCACTTGTATTCATTGTATGCTTATTGTTGAAGGAAAAATTATCACTATCATATCAAGATTAAAGTGCAAAGGTTTGCAATTTTTGATATGAATGAAAACTCTAAAGAATTTGGACATTTCCAACCCAACTGTATTGCAATAATGATGCTGAATGAATCAGTTCTACTTATCCAATGGAGAAGAGCAATTCCTGCATAAGAAAGGAGATCACTAATCATCTTTAAGTGGTATAAGTGGGACCAGGTCAAATTAAATGATTGCTAAATGTGTTTAAGCCAATACAATGATAAGGGGTTTAAAGTTACTGCTGTTTGTGGTAGGACGTGAATGCAAATTACTATGGTAAATTAGCGGCGGCAAACGTTTTCGTCCAAAAATATTGCAATATACCATTTTTTAAACTGGCGTATAAAAGATCATTCGAAATGTGATTGCTTATAATCTGGTTACAGGTAAATGGCAATTATTTGGAATTGTTTTACGATACCAAACGTTGAAAATATAACATGTGGGATTTATTTTCACTCACTCACTGCTATATAGTTCGTAGTTGTGTTGATCTGCAGTGTGTCAATTGTTAATCGAAACTCATTTGGTGGGCACTCCAGTATATCAATTAAGGTCACGATCAGCACACTGTCAATTTCAATTGGTGTCATATACATTAATTTACAGGATAACTGACATTTACTGTACACCTCAACATCATGGTAAATCGTGGGATATATTTAGACATAGTATCTACCCGTATATTATAATTCGCGCTTTAAATTCAGTTTTGAACGCGAGACTAAATACCGTCAATAAACTGTTGTTGTGAAAACATTAGTTCTGGTTTGATTGCAAAAGTCGATTTTTTTTTAATGACTTTTTATTTCAAAATATAACTATGGCAGAACATAGAATACAAATACAAGGCAAACACTGATTGCACTCCAGTACTGAATCAAAATACGAAACAGACATTGACAATGCTCAGTTTCTGTTTAGTGTTACTGGTAGTCGATCTCAATGGTCAGTACAAGTCATATGTAGATATACATGCTTACCTTACCTTACCATGCTTAAAGGACACCATGCATTTGTATGTAATTTCCAATGCTGATTATAATAATACATTCATACAGAAAAACTAGCATGGATACCATAAAAACGGCCATTTTTGTTTGAATCTTAACATATGACGTGACTTATATATGGTACTGATATAAAGCCATCTTCATCTCAGACAGATGTTTTTGGACACGTTTGCACGATTTTAGACAAAATGGCTTCCATTTCGAGAATTTGATCAAATCACAAAATGGTTTTACGACTCGAGTAGTCCTACTCGGCCGCGCGTCATGGGAAATGCAATTTGCGTGGCCCGCCCAGTTTTTTACTCGGCGAACAGCTGTTAGCATTACAAAAGGCGGTGTTAATTCCATGTGTACTAACATCTTATGCTACACAATTATCTGTTTTGAAAAGACTTACTGACACGCTTTGTTCACTACTCAAGGAAGCAACTCAATCTATCGAATGCAGTTTTCCCGGGCTTGCTTTACTCGAGGTCGTCATTGAAACACGATTCCTGTAAACTAGTACAGTTACGGTATAATAGGAGTGTTCGTTGGTTTCAACAAATTTCTGAAATAGACGCCTTGAATCTGGCGCCCATCTTTCCTTTTATACACCCGGAACCGTGGTTTAATTAATTAATTATTGTGGGGTCAGATAAGAGTCTGAGGGTGCGTGCGTTACCTAACTCTTTTCCATAGAACGACATTGGATCAATGATCTGTAGATATTACAGCTGATATATTCAGGTATCATAGGGATTCCATCACAAATCACTAGCTTAGCTCATTTAGTAGAGTGACCATGTTCGTTATTCTGGAAATTTTTGGCGTTACATGGTAATGTATAACTTTGTAACATTGAACGTCTTACAATAAAAGGGAAGCACATTCAACTAGTTTATAATTACAACAAAGCAAAAACTTGAAATACCATAACGTACCGCCGTGGACATAATGTAATCTCTGGTCAGTTAATTGTACTTTCAATTAGTATTTTATTTATTTTAATTGAAATCTAAGTGCTCCAAGGTTGATCTTGGAAATAAATTGCATTTAAACCACCAAATTTAACAAGTTTTTGGAATCACACCGCCTCCTGTAGCGTTGCTTTCATTTGCAAATTCGATGTTTTATGAATTAGTAAATTTCAGAGCTTACCATCGATTTTATTTTACATTAGCATGGCTTTGTCACAAAATATGTAATAATGCAATATTTGTGACTAAATTGCTAATATTTCAAAAACATAAACTAGCAGTATGCACGTACTCCCAATTATTAAAGCAGCCTTGTCAACTATCATGATGTGGATTTGTATTATCTATCTAGACTGGGAAACTGTGTGAAATGTTTCTTCTGTAACCTTGCCAAAACTAATTTAAGGTTGAAACAAATAAGACTGGACACTTATTAACTTAGGCAATTAAATTTGTGAAGAATTGTAATTAGTTATAATTCATTTTTGTGCCGCGGTAACTAACTGCTCATGCTCCGTTTTCGCATGAAATAAAGGCAAAAAAACGGTTTGTCCAATTGCATATCAACTGCGCGATCATTGATATACTACCATGAGTCACTAACGTCCTCTAACATAGAGCAAGTATATTGCAAGACTCAAATCACAGTAATATGACGTCGGTTCATCAATATGCCCTCTAGCGGTTAGCTATCCTATGACGTAAATGGTTGATACGAAGGCCGTCAAAAGAGTTGATACCGTTTTGGTCTGTAATCGTCAATCAATGAAGATTGAAGATGATTTTTGAGAGATGTTACTGTGTTCTAGTTGAAAGTTTACACAGCCAAAAACAATTTACGACTTGAACAACATCGATTTCACGTATATGTCCTTTTGACGTCACAGAATCGCAGCGACACTTATAAGAGAGGAAAAAAACTTAACTTAATCAATTGACAGATTGTGGTCGGTCAAATTTCGATAGATCTCAGATATCTGTGACATTTGATTTTTTTTTTCAGACAGATGTTGATTGTCAAAATTGAGTGGAATCAGTACATGGTTTAAATAAATGCAAACATTCCATACAGCGGGAATTACAAGTTTATTTTAAATAAAGTGTTACAAATAAAAATCGACAAATGAACAGATGAAAAAAATAATACTGAGACGTACCGGTACTTTGCATTGCACATTCGCAATAATAAACTCTAACTTAGCCGATGTAGAATCAACTCAATCTCGTTCATTGTACGTGCGATCCCGCGAAGAGTCGACTGACAAAGGTTGTACACGGATATATAATAGCCACAACAAACTGTTTTTGATACTGCTGCAAAACGTTTTTTTTTTTCAGAAACCAAGTAAATAATACAGTGCATAATTTACAAGGCGACAATAGACTGGTAATATTACAACACAAGTGTGGACACTGTGTAGCCAATTTTAATACGGTTGTCATATATGCTAACTTACATCATAAGCAAGATTGCTACATTGTTTACTTCATGATAAATGTATACTATAACAACTACATAGTGTCGACTGTCATCAAAGGCGAGTAGATGTTGTAGCACGGTGCGCAGTGGCGGACTCTCCACTGCTACAGTCCTGTGGTTGGTTCTGCGAAAAGAAATAACATAGTTTCATTAAGTATTCCTACTATGCGGTGATTACGGGGATAGAGGTATCCTCGTGATAACCTTATTATTATACATCTTTTCCGTTCAAGGATACATTATGGGAATGCCGAAATCCCAAAAGTTAAGAACAGAATCAGCGAACTTCTTTGTATGGAGTCCGGTCAAACCCTGCTGGCAGCCATATTTGTTTTTATTATTAGAGGACGCTTACGCGTGTAATCATTCCATATTTAGAATTCGCATTTCCTTATATGGTAGGATGATAATATCCCATAAAGTACCGCAAAACTACGGCACGCTGTAACCTATGGCGTTACGGTGACAGATTTATAATAATATGTTTTATTGTGCTAACGATTAACATCGTGAAATAAACACGCTCTGTGGCAATCGAATGAAGAATATTGTAAAATACATATAACATTATCTGGTTGAGGATATCCTGACATATTGGTTACTAATTATGTGTCAGCATCAACACACTGATCACCAGCACGAAGGCTTATGAACGTACACATCAGGTATGGTTAAAGCGTCTCAGTTTTCGATTTGCATCGTATTCATAAACAATGTTTGTTTACACGAAACTTCAACGCAAGCTGCATGACGACTGTGTGTGTTTTTTTTTCAAAACCTGGAAATATAACGACAGGAAGCTTGTCTTCTAGAGATGCGGCAAAATTATGAAAATACATTTCTTCAGGTAGTGCGGGACAAAGATACAATGCACGGACATACGGATAATCAAAGTAATTTATATGTGAGCTAATGCAATTTTGAAAATGCGTGTCATGATTGTAGTGCATATGATCTGAGTTTTAAAAAATCAGTCGCGTGACATGTAAATAAAACACGTGGTTTGCTAATTGGTTGATACAGTTAATATTCAGTTCCACCGTGACGACAATGAGCTGTCATGTCTCTGTTCGAACATAGGGTGGCGCTCTATACAAACTCATGTCAGGGATGTGTGTGAGGTTTTGGACTGTCGTGCAAACTAATACATCCATGGCCTGCTGTAAAACAAGACAATTAATCAAAGGGAAAACCGCTGCCAAATGAATACTATGTATGATCATAGTTTTATTTCCATGATATGGCGTAGCCACCCACAGGCCATTCACATACAAGTCACAGCTTGGAACTAATTTCACGGAAAAATTGCAACAACAAAAAACATACGCGCGGAAGAAGATAACAGCAAAGCCTAATCAGCACACTCTCATTGATAATCCAATGCTTCTCCAAATTACTATCTCTCGGCTTCGGAAATGTTTGAAAACCTATTCTACAGAGTGGCAGATCCGCAAGTGGGGAACCATTGATGGAAAGAAGGACAGATGTATCAAATATCCCGCTAGTCATTCGAGACCTTTTCAGCTGTTAGATCACATAGCACTGTGGTTGAAATATGAATCAATATTTCACAACTTTAATAAGATATACGGTTACAAGCAACACCATTATATCGTACGTAACATCTCTATGAGCTACGGGCGTCATTCGTATCAGTGGAAAAGATCGTTGTGTAATCTATGTGTCTGATGAAATCGCTTCAACCGCCATCCCAAAACGACGTCAAAATGTCCTTGCTTTGAACACCGCGCCCCTCAATTTCACTACCACCTTTGTGGCGTAGTTTGTCTCGACCTTCTATATGATAATTGCAATCATGATGGCTCAAAATATATCAATATGACCTTGATAAGCCATGAGCCAGCCAAATCCCAAAATTTTGTAAAATTACATAGCATAAACGAAGACAGACAGACAGAGACAGAGACAGACAGAGACAGAGACAGACAGAGACAGACAGAGACAGACAGAGACAGAGACAGAGACAGACAGAGACAGACAGAGACAGACAGAGACAGAGACAGAGACAGAGACAGACAGAGACAGACAGAGACAGACAGAGACAGACAGACAGAGACAGACAGACAGAGACAGACAGACAGAGACAGACAGACA